TTAAGTTGGGCAGGCTGGCCTTATTGTTTCTAATTTTTGTTTATTTCCAATTCTTGTAAGGATCCTAAAAGCTATAAATAAAGGAGTGTATGGGGCAGCAGATTATTCACTACTGAACCCCTTCTTTCTTTTCTCCTCCCTTCACTCTTTCTCTCTCTCTCTCTCTCTCTCTCTCTCTCTTTTCTTCTCTTCAAACCTGTAGTACCGTAAACTGTTCTTCTTCTTCTTCTTCTTTCAAGTGTCTTCTCTCACCATGCATTCACAACTGAAAAGAAACAAATAATAATGGAAACTAATATCTCCCTCTGCATTTTTTCAAATTTGGTGTTTGAGACGCAGGCATCAAGGAAACTAACCCTTTTCTCCTTGAATTTGTATCCAAGTGATGAAGCTCAAGCTTTCTTTTCAATGAGATCTGGTTTATGGTGATTTATTAGCTAATGAATACTGATTGGAATCTTTGTTTTTGTTTTTTTCCTTCTTTTGATGAAAGGGGCACATCTGTTCTATATTGACTTTTTATTTTTCTTCTTTCTGATTTTTATTTTGTGCAGCTTCCTTCTACCATTTCTATCTGTTGTATATGGTCTTACTTTCAGCAAGTCATTAAACACGAAGAACTAAGGGGTAAATTTGGGTTTTTAAAAAATATTTCACCCAATATGTAAATGGATCCCGATGGATTATTAACAGAGGGGAGGTCTTTGTCCAATGACATCACCCGACAAGGGAGGTCTTAGTCCATTTTGAAAAGAGGGGAAGTTTGAGTATTTACAAGAAACGTCAAGGGAGGTTTAAGCCTTTCACCCTTTCTTTTAATGAAAATTTTATTTTGTTACCAAAAACAAATATTAACTAGGTGGTCTTTTTGGTTAATTCCTAGCTGTTCATAGATTATAATTTCCATAAATTTAGAAATGGTACAAAATGTGTAGCAGGAAGTCCTAATATTTTTTACTATAGGTTAATATTATCAAACTTCTGCTTCTAATAATTTTTAAATTGTGCAAAGAAAATTCAATTCTTTTGTTGTTGATTTTGTTTGTTAATGCTTTGTGCAGAAGATCACCTTGATCATGATCTTTTCTTGGAGAACTAGCACCTTCTTTTCACCCTTAATTTGGATAGTCTTTGACTCCTTAGCATATTAGTGCCAAAGCCTTATGACCCATCAACCAATATTGACTGAAAAAAAAATGAAATTTCATGATCCTATAATATAGCCAGTGATGTAAGAAACATATGTCATCTTGATCTTGTTAGTTTACATATCTAGTGCAGCTGGCTAAGTCAATACAAAATCACCATGCAATATGTCTTGAAGCATGGTCATAAATATTTATTACATAAGACTAAATTCCCAATGTTTATTTTGATTCCTTCTATCAATAGGTGTTAAGGAGGCCTATCATCATTGTGCATGGATGTGAAGTTCGCAAAGGTTTATCTGATATTGCTTTTATTTCAACTGACAAGTCAACATTGGTATGTTTTGGTTCAAATATGATTACTTGCTCAATAATTACTTGTTGTCTCATTGGATGGAGTAGATTTTCCCACAGTTTATTGTCCTTTAGGCTCCATTTGGTTGGAGTGCAAATTTGAACCGTTGCAAATTTGCACTCTGGTTCAGATTTGCATTCGTTTGGTTAGGTTTCAAAAATGCATCGGTTTTCGATGCAAATTTGTATACTTTCTTAGGTTTGTACCGAAAATAGGAGAAAATATTGCTTTCTAAAAAGGAAAGAAAAATTTGCTCCTATGCTCAGTTGAAGTAAATAGGTTTTGAGTTTTTCCAAAACCCTCGAAAAAAAGAGAGATATTGTCAAGCTCAGCAAACTGAAAACTTGCAGAGCCAAGCAAATCAATCGATCGATCCACCGAAGCTGAAGGGGAAGAGCTTGAATCCTCTCATCACTTTCGAGCACAAGAGGTAGCCAAAAATCACTTCCATCTTCCTACCTCTCCATGCGTCCTTGAATCCTGATATTGTCGCAAGTCTCTTTTGAGGAAAAATATATCAAATTCTAGGGTTTTCTTCGTTTCATTCTTTTTGATCTTTTGAGTCCCGCTTGATGGAGGGATAGATCATGTCGATCTGTTGTTAATGCGCGTAATGTGCTCTGTGATGCTAGTTAGACAGCGCTTACTTGAGAAAAATGTGAGTTCTCCCCTAGATTCCACAGAGATTTGGTTATTGACTCATTAGTTTATTTTTCTTTGTCATATGTTTCCACTAATGCATATGTTTTAAATTTGCACTGTTAATATTTTTCCTGTATACCCTCTGTTTCTTTTATTTTCTTTATAACTTTGTCTCTTATTTTCATTTTTAATTTTGATTTGGAAGAGTTCTTGCACTTTATCATATGCAACTGGAAGATCAGGGCTCATTCTTGTCCCCAGCAGAGGATGAGAGTTCAAGAGAAGTTTTTGGTCTTATAAAGAAGCTGAATGTTGCCCCTGATACAAAGAAAAAGGCAAAGCCAACATGTAAGGCACTCAATTGAGAACTTGACTGTTCTTTTTTTTTTTTTTTTTGAGAAAAGATAACTTGACTGTTCTTATCTGTCTACATGATTATTCTTTCCTATTTGCTAGCTGTTTCTTATTGTTTTTTCTTTATTATGCAGCCTTTTTCAATATGCTGGTTACAGGAGGAAACAGTAATAGTGCTTCTAAGGTAAATAGATATTTCCCATTTTGCATTGAGTTGACATTATTGGGTGAACTGCATTATAACTTTGTGACATGGATAGGAGATATACAGTGACCTTATATGGTCATATTGCTTAGTGTGAGGGTAAAATCTTGGGCTAGGAAGTATCAGAATACTGGGTTGATTTTGAGAGCAGTTCGTGCTAAATACCTGAGGTTAGGTACAAGTTGGACTGTAATTGGGATGGTTCTAGCACTTATGAATCTGGCCTGATTTATAAACACATCCAAACCCAACCTGTAATCTGATCAGATTTAGGGGGGTCTTGGATCCTATTGAATTTTTGGATCTAATCTGAAGTTGATTCATCAATTTTGAAATAGAGAAGAATTAAATTATAAAAAAAATAATTACTGGCTTTAAATAATTATATATTATCAATAATATATGTATGTGTATTAATTTTTATAAAATTTAACCGACTTGGATCAGATCCACATCTGATCCAATCATGCAAACGGATCATCTGAATCTGAAATACGTAGGTTGGAACTTGGGTTGGGCAATTGGACTTTCAGAGATCATTGACAGCCCTGTTCCAGTCCCCCCACCCAACCAATCCCCAAGATCCCAAATAGCTAAGATTTCCATTAGTTAATGGCCTGTATTTTTGATGGACCAAAATTTTCATGATTGGATAACTGCTATTTTGTCTGTTTTATTGCAAATGCCAGAAGTGATGAAATTTTAATGGGAAAATTGGTGAAACTAGCAAAATAGTGCAAATATATTAAAACAACTTAAAGAGGATGATGGTTTTTGAGGGTGGGTATTATGGATTTGATTTTTATTGTCTTTAATGGTCAATTTTTTTTGTCAGTATGTTTTAGATGGTCCATGGTAGTGTTCTCTAGATTAACTTTCTAGAGGAAAATAATAGATAAGTTAAAAGATTAGAATATGATCTGATTACTTGCTATCTTGATGATGAAAACTCCTAAGGAGTGTTCAATAATATTTTAGCACCCATCAAGAAGTTATAGCAGACAGTAAATTACAGCTTGGAAAGTAAGAAAATGAAGAGGACAGCCATAACAAGTTTGTAAACCCAGAGTTTTCTAAACTATTTGTGTACTTATATTGGGTGTGGGTTATATAACTGCTATCCATCATCCAATGTTGGTCCCAGATATTTGGGTCTTAGGAGTTGGAGGGGTGCACTGGATACAAATTGTTACATGCACCCTCAAACAAGTTCGAATGGCACAAAACAAAGCACATAGAGATACTGAAAAAAAAAAAAAATACACAGATATACGTGGTTTGGCCTTTGACCTATGTTCACAGGCAAGGGGGGAGCAGAAATCTACTAAACCAGTAAAAATGCAGCATAGGATTGAGTAGCCTCACAAAACCCTGGCACCCAATACACTTGAATCTCTCTGTATGAATGGCAGATGCAAATAGTAGATCCACTCAAAAAACCGTATAAACATATGCACAATTGTACATTCATGCATGCATTCATGGATATAAGATCCATATACAAAACTGGCCAGGTCTGTGCTGTGGGGTCTGTCAAAGCAAGGCAAAGTTTTGTGGAATATGGTGCCTGGTGTGATCTGCTGGTTTGTTTGGAAAGAGAGAAATGATAGAACCTTTCAAAATCAAGCCTTACCAGTCGAGAAGTTATGTGGTAAGGTGGAAAGGCTGCTGGTGAAATGGGCTAGTACCTCAAGCATCCTCAAGGGGTCATAAGTGCACTGATTTCTATAATCATTGGAGTGACATTATCTCAAATGATGACTTTGCTTTGTCATTGTTTTGCTGTTTTAGTTTCTGGTTGTGGCATTTGAAGTCTTTGTAGAAGGGAACCTCTCCCTTGCTCATATTTTCTTTATTAATGAAAATTTGCTTCTCCTTTGAAAAAAGGAAAAAAAAAACTGAAGCCAAAGCCTCTTTGCTTTGAATCTGTTCATGTAATGAAGTTCAAAGAATTTTTAGTAGAAATTGACACATTCTCCAAGATTCAGGCATTCTGTCTTCTCAGTCTGTTTTGTTTCTTCTTGGTTTCTTCTCGTTTGTCCCCCCTCCTGAAATTATTTGTCTTTTGCAAGAAATGTAGATTAGTGAAATGAATGGATTTTCTTCTGCCATTTTGTTTATTCTGCCACTCAACCCTATTGCGCAACTTGATCTGTACAATTTGCATGGGATTGAGTCTCAAGTTTGTTAGTTGACCATTGTTAGCTCCCATCATGTAGCAGTTCATTTTACATGAGAAGGAGGGAGGGGATGTAGTTTAATATTTTCAGGATTCCTGTGAATTTTGCATGCCACTTGACTCTATTGCACAATTGAGTCTCAAGTTTGTTAGTTGTCCATTGTTAGCTCCAATCATATAGCAGTTCATTTTACATGAGAGAGGGAGGGGGATTTGGTTTAATATTTTCAGGATTTCTGTGATTTTTTCAAAATATTGTAGATACTTTTTTTATACAATATTGGTGCGTCAATGTGTATTATAATCAAGACTGATCTTTTTTAATAGTAATACATATCTTTACTTTACCTGTTCAAAAAATCATCAACATCCTTGCCTTCCACCATCTACTTTCTCTAGTTGGCCAGCCCCATTAAATTGAGGCACAAACAACAATTAGACCCACCTAAAACAACTTGAGCTCCAAGGTAATAATTCAACTCTCAAAGTTTAAATATATCTTCTCTCAAAGCTGTTAGAAATTGGAAAATAACTCCTGAAACAGCAAGAATTGATCAAAAAACATATAAACCAGAAAATTGTGAAATTGCCATTATAATGAGATAAGATGAGAGTTTGCAAATATCTTTTGATCATTAACAGATCCAGAGAAGTTCTAATAATCAGAATAGTAGAGCAGAAATACAATGGAATAGTGTACCTATATGAATCTGCACACCTTTACCTGATGATTACACCTAAAAGTAATACAATTTGATCCATATGCCCCCTCCCTTTCCCTACAACATCCTTTTCATACTCTTCTAGAGCAGGCCTTGTATACAGCTCAACCTGGTAAATATCTGTAGTTGTGTTGGGCTAATTTCCCGACCCAATTTAAATAAGGTAGCCAAGTTGTGGGCCAGGTCTCTTTCTTTCCTAATCTGGTTTCTATATTTCAATAGGGAATTAATAGCCAAGGTGTTAATATACATTCATAAACAGAATCTCCTGTAAGATTCTATTTACGTATTTTTAAATATGTAGTTCAAACTTCAGAACTGTTTTAGCTTCTTGCATGATAATTTTGTACCCCACTCCAAAGAGCTGGTTTTACTTCAGTTATTTATGTTATGTTTATATTCCTGAAGAACTTAAATTACTATTACTGAAAAAGTTTTTTATTTAATTTTTATACCAGTCATCCGTCACCTACAGTTCTCATACCTGCTCTTCGAACAGTTGGAAACATTGTCACAGGAGATGATGCTCAGACTCAGGTATCTACCTTGTTTATGTACCCGGGATTATAATTGCTTCTTCCATTAAATAATCATAATGAATAAATTAAGAATTTAGAGGTTTCTTACACACACTGGTTTTGAAAATAAATTATCATGTTTTTTTTTTTTTTATACTTATATCTAGAATGCTTTGTAGCCCACTCCTGGATCTCAAATTTTATTAGTAGATGTAGATGTTTATGGCTGTCCAGTTGCCTTGTCAATTTCTATCCATTCAGCCAGTTCAAATTCCAGATATTTGTATCCCCCCTTTTCTCTCCTCCCTCCCCCCTCCCTCTCTCTAAATTTGGTGGTTCAAGTCATTTCTCTTAGCACCTGGAAATGTCTTTTCCCTTGTAATTCCTTCTAAGGTTTACAAAACCCTGGACGTTATAGTTATGAATGTAGGTCTAACAGAACACTTTCAGGCCTAAAGACACATCCCAGAGTTAGTAATTGGGGAACCTGATCTTTAAATTAGGCTTCTAAGCAGATTCCTCACCCTTCTGGCAGGTTATCAACAATTTCACATATGGAGTTTAAAAATAAAATTTCATATATGGAGTTTAAATATGTTTGTAAGAATTACCCTATTGGCTGTGTATAGTTAATGACTCAATGCCTTCTAAAAATATATTCTTCCTGTTTGTAGTATTGTGCTATTACTTGGTTATATGATTTCTAAG